CCTGGCCGGGGGCGGGGTTTGGGCTTGAGGAGCTTTAAGGTCCCTTCCAACCCACTTACTTCTTCTGGGCTGGGATTCTGATTCTATGATCCCTGCACCAATTTACCACACGGTGCTGGCCAGCTCACATCCCACACTTGGTTGATATCTGAGGGTGGGACCTGCAGCCCCTTTTACACCTTTCCAGCCACCTTCCCACAAGGTGCTCTCACCTCTTTCATGATGGGATCCTGTGGCTCTTTGCTCTCCACGATGCACGGCTCGATGAAGTACCCGACGCTGTCGTCGCAGCCGCCTCCTGCCAGGATGGTGAGGTTGGGTGACTTCTTGGCGTGCTCGATCCACTTCTTTATCCGTGCAAAAGACTGAGAAAAGGAAATAATGAAGAAAAGAGTGTGGGTTCGGTGTCTAAAACGACATTTGGGCAACCCCTTTCAGGACCACACTGCTCTTAGCACTCCTCCAGCTCAGGAGGAGGAGTGGGAGCTGGAACTACAGTCCCAAGATCTCTGAACTGTCCATCTGAGATGGTATCTCAGGAAAATAACCCACTGGTCAAGAGGGGTGGTGACTAAGGCATGAAGAGCTCCAGGAGGGAGCAAAAGAAGGCTGAGAGTGAGCTCTAATCACTGATGTTGGCACCTCGCTGTAAGCAATAGAAACATTTAACCCAGCACCTGGTGAAAGCCCAGTGGTGTCACCTCCTCGCACCAGCAGAACGGGAGAGATGAGCTCACCTTGTCATCAATCACTGCAGAGAAAAACGTCCCGAAGTCCTGGGTGGGCTGTGGGAAGCCAGAAAAGAGGGAATGTAAGTACCTGCTGAGCCAAAAGCCAACTCTGCTATTTGGAGGAGCTGAAATTCCCCAAATGACATTCCCTCCCGCTCCAAGCACACCTCTGGTCCCGGGCACAAGCTACCCCTTTTCAATTAGTCTGCAGCATTCAGCGACTTCCACAATCCTTCCTGCAGACACTGGCTACAAGTTAATTTCTAATCACTATAAAGAAGAAGATGAAGGGGGGGACGGCGGCGGGGCGGTGGCGGGGAGAGCCAGTGGATAAAAA